GCTTCCTTCCGCATCGGTTAAATGCTGACAAGTTTACCGAGTTCCGTAAAAATGGTTTTCAAGATCTGTTAGAAGATGTTCCGCTTAATACTCGAATGAACAGTTGGTTTCAACTAGATGGTTGTTCTGCCCATTTTGGTAGAGGTACTAGGGAGTGGTTAAACATTAATTATCCCAGGAGATGGATTGGTCGTGGAGGACCTACAGCGTGGCCTGCACGTTCACTGGACTTGACACCGATGGATTATTTCGTTTGGGGTGCTGTTAAACAAAAACACAGCGAATAGTCCAAGCGTGTCGAGAATTAACTCCAATTCAGTGTCGATCAGCCACTACTTCCATAATTAGAAGATGTCGTGCTTGTCTACAGTCCGGAGGCGCCCATTTTGAACAAAATATTTTTTAAATCATTTCATTTTTGATTCACTTTTCGCTTTGTCTAGGTATAATATTAATTGGTAATTTTTTTGGTTGTTTCAATTTACAAATCATGTCAATCAATCAAAATGTTCATGTATTGTTTGCCATCTTATTTTATTTAAATGTACATAACACAATAAATGAAGTGACTACAAACCGCCTGAAAAAATTTAGGAGTATTGTAAGGGTCGTTACGTTGTCGCATTACGACATAGTCACATTAGATGTTAGGTACTTAAATATTTCTATTGTTTTCATCAACATCATTTTTTTTTTCTAAAGAAAACACCCTATATCGAAAACGAAGCATCTCCTAAATAATTTTAATACTATTGGTTAAACCCAAGGGAAGGGGAGACAAAAAGGCTGATACTCGAGACTAAACCAATTTTAATAGGTACTAAGTATATTTTTTTAGGTTTTATGAGGAACGTCTTCCTAAAGTTTATCGACAAAATCCAGAAGCACCCTTCCGCAAAATCAATTTTGCCATGAAACTATAAGAGTTAGGAAAAAAGTGAATGTACACTTTTTGTCAATGACAAACTGTTCTATCTAAAAACAGCATCATTTTTTATTTTCAGTAGGGCCGTATTATTTTTTTTATAATTTAATGAGTCAGAGCCCCCTAAACTCCGCTACTGGTTGCTTGCGGGACTTCTACTTCTATGGAAAAATGGTATCTTATAAGAAGATGTGTCATGCCAAATTTGGCTTAAATAGCCTCCTTCATTTGGAAGTTATTTAAAAAATTCGATTTTTTTTTTAATCTTTAAGGCCCTATGTTTCGAAAATGAAGCGTCTGGAAAAAAATTTGTACTTGATTTTTTTCATCTTTTTTTATGGCGAATATTTCCTTAAAGTTTGTCGACTTAATCCTGAAACACCCTGTATACATTCACCTTAATCGTTATTAAAAGTGCTTCTACCTACATCGCACTTAGTAGCTGCTTTCCCAGAATTTAATTTTCTACTAATTATTGTTTATGTCCCAAACCGGTACAAGTTTTAACAAATAAGACTATCAAGTCGGCAACGACTACCTGAGGCCATACACAAATGCGAAAGTCGGAGGAAGAAAGATAAATATACCCAGCCCACTTCAAGGGAATTTCAAATTTCTTGTAAGAACATTAACTCTTGGGAAATCCGTAAACTTCTGGTCTTCAAGTTCAAATTTACATATTCAGCGTGTTCTGTATGGTGAAACAGTTTATTGTGCAAAAATGGCAGTAGTCCACACGCATACATAGAATGTTGCTTTTAAATTGCGGCTTGGTATACCCCGCGACGTCAATGTTGTATACGTTTGGATTTTCAGTGGGAATAACATACTTTATGACAGAAATTTAAATGCAAAATTGCAATAAAATCGCTATATACTTCTTATTATCAACAGAACGTTGGTTATTGGTAAATTCCCCCATGTAGGTATACCAAAAGTAATAACTGTTTCTGATTTTTTAAATATTTTACCACCAAAGCAGAAACTGCAGAGCTGCCATGTGTATTTATCTCAATTATACTGGAACATGCAAAAGTCGTTTCTATTTTTTCCATGTGAGTAATTTTTCCGTGTGAGTAATTTTGAATAATAGACGAAATGCTGAATATTCATTTTTTATAATTATTGATGCGTTAATAAATAATGATATATAAATATGTGAATTATTTATTATAGATTATTCACTGCCAGTGAACTAATACATCCTTGTAATTTAACTAATTTACTTGAAGTAAACTGATAGGCAGTGCAAATTTGAAATTTATTTCCATATATTATTATTTCAGGAACAAATGGGTCATACTTCAAAGGTATTTTCCTTGAATAAATTCTGCTTTCTTAATAAATTAAGACCTTCAAATAATTTTTTGATTTAATTCCTTAAAGGTAACTTTTTCAAAGAAACTTGATGTAGAAGGGCTTTGGGAATAATCAAAAATGAATATAAGTTTATTGTAATTTAAAACTTCGGTCGCTAAGAATACATTTTTTAATGCCACTTTATTTATTATAAAAAAAGGTATACTTTTTTACTAATTTATCTTTCTATCTCAATTTCAGCTACGGACAGCTAAGTGCCAATTTAATCTAATTAACTTCATCTTCATCTTCATTTATGGCTATATCTATTAAAAGTATTTTTTTGCAATTTATTCAAATGTCAGCATTTTGAAAGCAGTTGTACAAAATTTAAAGGATTATGTCTCAGTAGCTTATGGTAAACAAAGCAATGTTGCATAAAAGACGTTTGCAGCATTTTCTCAAAATTACTATAAATCAACAAAAGGATGACAAAAAAATAGAGGATTCAAAGAATCTACCCTGAGATGTATCTATTTACCACACGTCCTTTGGTTCAAAATAAGTCGATATTTTCCGTGTGTTCAATGTAGGTACTTGTTTTTACACAAATATTTAATTGTTGGTTTATATAATTTCATTCATAGAATTATTGTCAAATTAGACACCTCTATCTTAATCAGGTTCAAACCTTTTTTAAAATAGTACTGTAATAATTTGGTAAATTTAAATTTTCTTTATTTCTCATGCATCAGGGTATAGTCTAAAAGGTTTGTTGTTGTCTGTTGAGAAACGTCTTCGGCAAATTGGTCGCTTTGCTTTTAAAACTGATGATTATAGAAGGAATAGTTTTGTATAAACTCTACTTGACAAACAAATTTAAGAACGTGTTGGAGGAGATCCGGAACAAGCACCACACGAATAGGTAGGGAAATAGAGTTTCCAAAGATGTTGTTAATGAGTACTTAAAGAAAAGTAGCTATATGCATACCATAAGATCAACAATCATCAATATTTTATTAACCAATGAAGGGGTCTTTCATGAGAAGATGGGCAACTAATTTCCATAGTAAATATGTTTATTCTGTTGAAAATCAGCATGCAATCAAGATTCATCATTTTCCATACGATTTTAAAATTAATGTGTGAACTGGGATAATTGGTAATTGTATTATTGGTCCCGTCATTTTTCCACAAAGGCTGGTGGGAGAAATTTATTTGCAAGATATAAAAAATGTGTTGCCAGACATAGTAGATGATTCACCTGTGCAACTTCAGAAAGATACGTGGTTTATACACGATGGTACGAGGTGTTCCACCATATTTTTCATTAAACGTTCGAAGCCATGTAAATTAAAAATACCCAAATAAATGTATAGGTAGAGGTCATGACGTCCCTATAAATTGTCCATCACTTCTCCAGACTTAAAGCCATTGGATAATTTCCTATACCCTAAATCCGTGGATTACAACAAACAAATAATTTTAGTGGCTATATATTTTATTTATTTTTATTTACGTTTTTGTAAAATCCAATCACAATTATTAAAATACAAATTACGAAAAAAAGACATCAAAGTAGTCGAGTCATCAATACTACCTATTTTGTAGTAAATAAAATTACCTAGCCTATTTTTTTTGTTGCAAAAGTTCTCGTCCTTTAACACGGAAATCTGAAATATTCTATCTCAAAAATATCAAGTTCTATGCATAAGGATGATATTTATCACAGTTTTGATATAGGACTTTTTGCCCTATAAAGAACCAAATTTGAGGAAAATCGCATATGTCGTTTTAAAGTTATAACAAAAAGACATTTTCAAAATTGAAAGTTCAAACCATTTAGTTCGAACTATCTAGTTCGAATCAAACGTATTTGTTTATTCTATGGTAAGTTGCAGTGCTTTTTTCGGTAGAAGCTTCTACATTTTAGAATATAGCTACATCTGTTGTTTCCAGAGATTTTCTTAAATTTTTTGTTGACAGTTAATGCAGTTTGTCAGTAAAGTTTTTACAGGATTATACATTACAAGTCAGTTAATTGTATATAATTTTATAAATACTTTATTAATATTGATTTAAAGGGAGGTGACAGTTATTAGCAACTTAATACAGTATAGATTGATATTAGTGACAATTGATGTAGTATATTTCAAAATAATTCAATTCGTTTTTTTTATTGTTTGAGGTATAAACTATCTGGTAAAGATATTACTAAAACCTCTAAAATTTCCAGTATTTCGCACCTTTATTTTAATTAATTACAGTTGTTGGTGAAAAATAGCGATCTACAAGTGACAATGTACACTAACACAAAAAAGAATGTTTTTTCAATACTCAAAATAATATGGAAGTTGCCATAATTGCTTACAGCAATGGTATGCTGTTTTCCATAACTTCAATACGCTATGGAGATCTTTGGAACATTTAAAAATATAGCATAAATTAGTAGTAATCCCTAGAACACGAAGAGGCAGCTCCTATTTTTTTCTTTGTATAATAATAATTACTGGCGAGTTAGACCATAGAAGAATAATTGACATGTATACCGTATTTATAATGTATACAAATGTATAAATGTGTACAATGTACAAATTTTATTAAAAACCTTAGTACATATATTTCTTCTATGAAAATTTATCCTGAGCAGTTACTAATGCCGTTGCCTAAACAAAATACCGAAATAAATGAAGAAAAACAATTTTTGTGATAAACTGACTTACCTTTCTGATATATTTAATAGAATGTATTTTTAATTTTTTTTCTTTTTTTTTAGGGACTCTGTCAGCTATCTCAGATGGCATGCAATATGGCTGGACCGCCCCGACAGTTCCCATCCTCCTCAGCGAGGACAGCCCTATCGAAGTCACGCCGCACCAAGCAGAATGGCTGGAGACCATCCTCATGATAGGCGCGTGTTTCGGTCTGCCCGTTACCATGTACCTGGTGGACAAGATAGGCCGTAAGAAATCGCTGATTACCTCCGCCACCACCACCCTCATAGCTTGGATAGTCATCGCCTTGGCTCCCAGCGTGGAGTACATCTTCGCGGCCAGGTTCTTCGCTGGCATGGCCGGCGACATGGCCTTCGTAGCTGCGCCGATGTACATAGCGGAAATGGCCGATCAGAAGATAAGAGGGTTCTTGTCGGGGTTGGTGTACGTCATGATGTTGACGGGGATCCTGCTGTTGTACTGCGTCGCACCTTTCGTGCCGATCTGGGTACCATGCGCATTGGGGGTCTTCATCAACTGCATAGGGCTCGCGATATTTCCTTTCCAACCTGATTCGCCCTACTATTTGCTTTACAAGAACAAGCCTGAGAAAGCTAAGGCAGCTCTGCAACGACTGAGACGATCTGAGGATGTGGAAAATGAGTTTAATGACATTGCTACAGCCGTGGACCGACAGAAGAATGAAGGAAAACATAGCAAGTTCCAGGATTTGTTCCTGATCAAGAGCAGCAGGAAGGCTTTGATTATAATGGTTGTGCTCAATGCCTCACAACACATGAGCAGCATCAGTGTGATGTTGATGAACCTGCACTCGATCCTAGCAGAAGCAGGTTCATTCTACGTAGCTGCGTCTACTGGAGCCATTATATTCTCGGCAGTAATGTTCTGTTCTGCCATGTCTGCATCTTTAGCCATCGACAATTTTGGACGTAAAGGCTTGTTATGCACTTCGGGAATAATGGCTGGCATTTGCCTCTTAGTTATAGCTATATATTTCACAATGAAGGATGCTGGTGCCGATGTACTTCCATACAGTTGGATACCTCTAGCAATGGTTATGCTCTACGCGGCTTTCTTCAAATTCGGGATTGGTTTGGTGCCTATCGTCCTCACCGCTGAATTATTCCCGGCCAAGACGAAAGCTATTGGCATGACTTTGTCTGATGCCTTTTACGTAGGATTTGCTGTTATAACCTTGGAGTTATACATTGAACTGAAGAATTCCTTTGGCATCCAGGTGCCGTTTTATATTTTCGCTTTCTCCTGCTTCTGCACGGCGATATTCACGATATTATACATACCAGAAACGAAGGGTAAAACGTTGGAGGAAATCCAATTCATTTTGAAGGGCACCAGCTCGGAGCAAGAAACAACACCAGAAGCCAAAGAGCCAAAGGAAGTGTACAGGAATGAAGGATTTGTTCCCTAGATGCACTTGTTAAATTTAGATTATGTTAATATACTACAAAATAAGAGTATTCGTAGAGTACTCTTTTTTATTGTTTTCTACTTGTATATAGGTATTTAATTTTGTAATAAATAATTTATGTATATATTTAATAAAATTAAAACAGTATTGTTATTTTAATAATTTTACATTAATTAATTTTTCACCCGAATTTTACAATATTTTCAAAAAAATTATTACATTCACATATAAATAAAAGCAGCCTCAGTATCATCAAAATAAATTACTATCAAGAAGTATGTTGTAACAAAGGCTGCTCCTCTTTAAGCATCGTCTGTATCTCCTCTAGAGTTTTCCCTTTAGTTTCAGGGATATAAAAAATAGTAAAAAGCATTACTGAAAAGCAGCACCCAGCAAAGAAATAAAAGGGCACGTGCAGACCATAAGTCCTATCCATCCATTGATAAATTTGCAGCACTACAGCACTCCATCCCACATACATTGCATCCGCAGTAGTCATCCCTACAGCTTTTATTTTTGCAGGGAAAATTTCAGACGTGACTACTATGGGGACAATGCCCAACCCCAGTTTAAAAGCTGCAGCGTACACCATCACCGCAACTATGGGTATCCAACTCGCTTTCCTGACATCAACTCCATTCTTCTGCAGATTAAAATAAATAGCGATGGCTAGTAAGCACATGCCACTAAATATAGCTGACATTACGAGTAACACTTTACGACCATACTTATCTACTATCAGACATGCAATAGTAGCTGCTACAAGCATTATTACAGAGAACAATATAGCAGTTATTGAGGAATCTATGTATATAGAACCCGCAGCTTTCAGTATTAAATGTAGATTCATAACGATCACGCTTATTGCACAGAAATGTTGACCTCCATTCAGAACGGTCATGGTTGTTATGGCTCTACGATTGCTTTTAACTAAGAATAAGTCCTGTATCCTCCCTCTTTCACTTCTCTGTCTCTCTACCGCTTTAGATATTTCCTCTATTTCTTTTTCAATGTCACCATTGCATCTGAAATATTGCAAAGATTTCAGGGCAGCTTCTGGGTTGTGCTTGTACAACAAATAGTATGGAGTTTCTGGTAGGAATCCGAAAATAACTACTTCAAGTGAGGAAACCACGGCACCAATAGCCGGAGAAACGTAGAAAGGCAGGAAAGGTCCCACACTGTAGACGATCACGCAGCCAGTGAGCATCATCAAATAGATTATCCCCGACAGGAAACCTCTTATTTTTTGGTCCGCTATCTCAGCAATATACATCGGAGCAGCTACAAACGCCATATCACTAGCCATCCCAGAAAAGAAACGGGCTACTAATAGTTGGGTCATATTGGTACCTAATGCAATGGTTATCCAAGCGCTTGCGTTTACTGATGAAGCTACTAGCAAGGAGTTCCTCCTTCCGATTTTGTCCACCAAGTATATGGTTAATGGTAGACCACATAGGGCTCCCAGCATCAAGATAGTTTCCAGCCATTCCGCATTGTATTTGGTCGTTTTTATGTGGCTATGTTCGCTGATCAGATACGGTACAGCTGGCGCTGTCCAGGCGTAGCTCATTCCATCTGATATAGCGAAGAGGGAACCTACAAAAAATACGGTTCATATTATAGCTTCACGGTAACGATCTCGAACTATATCAGGGCACAAGAGGCTCAAGCACAGTTTGAATTTCGGACTGTCAGATTCAAACTGGACTTGTGTCCAATGTTTAAAGTCATCCTAAACTAGTTCGGGATCGCTACAGCGAATAAACCTTATATTTCGCCTCAAAATTTGTCAAATACCGTACATTTTATACAGGGCGATTCACAACTTATCCAAAACACCTTGAAGATCTTAAAAATATTAATAATAATAATTTTACAGAGTTAAATATAAAAATATACATATTCGACAACTGCAGCTTGTTAAAATGAAACCTAATTATTTTGTGAGAGACCGTTCAAGTAGCTCCAGACAATATATTATGATAAATGTATATTCAATATTACTGTGGTTTTCTCTATCTTATTATCGTGGTTTATTGTTTACATCAATTTTACAAGTGTTCAAAATGATATATGTGTAGCAATGCAGAATTAATAAATATGGTTTTATGTTAGGTTGAAGCATATACATTAGCAGCTTCTCGCTTGCATGTAGAAGATTTTTCAGAGCTACACATGTGCTGAATGCTGCTACCTTTGCTACATTGGTTCAACGAGTGTGTGGAAGGGGAAATTTACCATCGATTCGTGGTTTACTTCAATAATCCCAATCTTGGAATAGAACCTGCTAATTCATTGGGATATGAATCTCTCTAATGAAACAATAACAAGTTTATACAAAAAAATGTAAACAGATATTTTAATTAATAACATATAATAGCAAGTGAATATATTATATTCCAAAAATGTGGTGTCGTACCTCCAAGAGACATCAATGGTGCTGACATTCAGCCATTATTTTGACTGTTAGGTATTCGGTGCTACTGTGATTGTACCGTCTTCTGTCAAATAAATAATTTGTCATTTATGTTGTCATTAACAGAATCGATCCAATCGTTGCTCTTTGTCTCATAAAAATAATAAAATAATTATTTTTATACGGATGTTTTTTTTCGTTAAAATAAGTTTTAATATCATAATAAAACAAACGATGTTAAATCTCTAAATATTTTAACAAAAACAAAACAAAATATTTACTGTTCGTTGTGAATGGAATTAATTTTCAGCTTTTGTGTTTGTAATAAGTAAATATTAAATTAATGTGATAGGTATTCCAGGGATAACAAATGTTTATAAACGTGCTGCGCTGCATTTGCCATATACAATCTGCAAACATTTGCTTTGCAATTGCTGTGGAAGCGAAAATAAAAGCCAATACCCATAAAAAAACAGATATACTAATCCAGTTCCGGTTATGACTACCTAATGGGAGATATAGAAAAAAATATTTAAACACATCTTTACATTTCGTGTCAGCTCCAGTGTTAGTTTTCGTTGCCAGATACACTCTTTTAGTATATTTTTTATATACGGATACTTTTGAAAGTATATTTATTGTTATCTCTGTGCAAATTTAGAGAGTTTGATAGAATCTATAATAAGAACATTTAGTCTTACATGAGATATATTATTGAGCCTTTTTATCAAGCGTATTGTAATTTACTGTAGCTTGCAGTAAAACAAAAATGTTTTACACGTTTAGAAGAAAACACGAATTATTAATGAAATAATTTTATATATTTTTAGTACGTTTTTCAAAAGCTAGCCGAATGATATTGTACTTTCATATTTTTCAAACAACGACCAGTTTTCTCTTGAAATGTGAGAATGTAACTTTAAATTTTCAATAATATTAAATTTTATAAGAAATTACTGTTTTCTAAAATATTATGTTGTTATGTCACTCATAACACAGCCACACAAAAATTACTTTGGGGCCCAGAGGTCAGACCATGTTTATTACAGGTTTTTTGGGTCGCTGAATCCGAGTCCGAGGTCCATTTTACCCCATCACCTCAGGATTTTTCATATCCTCAAAAAAAAAAAACGATATTCTGAACAATAATTAAACCATATAACCTTAAAAATCAAGCTGTCAATGCTAAATCCAATTAACCAAATCCCATAAATATTTATTCCAATCTAATAAGCCCATGAACTCAAACCCCAATAACCCTATAACCCCATAACCAAGGAAATAAATCATACGCAATCTGTATTAGTGCAAAACAGCACATAGCTCAGGACTCTTTGAAAACCCAAGTACTCAAACCCAAAAAATTCCCATAACCCTATAACCCCATAACCCTGTAACTTTATAACCGCATAACCCCATTACTAATAAATCATAGGTAATATGTATTATGGCTAAACGTTAACGTGGTTGAGGGTATCTTAAAAATCTATGCACTCAAATCCCAACACCCCCATGACCCTACAATTCATAACCCCATGATTCCCTAACCACATTTTCATTACCTTGTGTACTATGATCCCATTCACCAAAGAACCGAGTGTTACAATCCGTTTTTTTATAACTTTAATTGGTAGGACCGTCGGCATTAGCGTTACCCGATGTACACGAAGTGGTAGATTAAAAGACCGGAAATGTGAAATGACTGGATCAATATATAGGATGCATTTTAGGTTTGTGTGCTAGGGTTTTCAAGAAGTCCTCAGCTATGTGATGTTTTGCAATAATATAGATTGCCTATGATTTATTCTCTTAGTTATAGAGTTATGGGGTTATAGGGTTATTGGGGTTTGGGTTCGTGGGCTTATTAGGTTGGGATATCATTGAGTTAAATTTTTATGGAATTTGGTTAATTGGATTTAACGTTGGAAGCTTGAGTCTTAAGGTTATATGGTTTAATTGTTCAGAATATTGGTTTTTTGAGGTTACGAAAAATTCTGAGGTGATGGGGTTAAATGGCCCTCGGATTCGGATTCAGCGACATAAATAAACATGGTCTGACCTCTGGGACCGAAATTCGATTTTTTGTGTGGCTGTGTAATGAATCAATTCAATCAATGGTAATTTTCCGGAATAAAACCGTTCTAGCTTCGTTAAATAATAATTATTGACATTCAGCTCTTATGAAAGTAACAAGTATATTAAGTATTTGCGTAAGTATAATTTAGTGGTCTACAAGATTTTGTAGACCTGGGTAAATCACTTTCAACTTAAATGCATTTAATCCTAGTTAAAGCTAAATGTTTGCATAGATAAATCAATTTGTACTTGAATAAAACTTTATGACACTGGTTATTATTAAATTGTTTTATGACAGAACCTTGATAAGAGTACATATTTGGTTTTATTGTAGTCTTACAAATGTTCGCACGTTCCCGCTTGAAAACATAGCCTATTTGTAGTGCTTGTTGGGTCTGTTGTGCCAGAGTCGTTCACTTAATAATGCACTTTGAACTTTCTAGGTAAGAACAACTAACTTAAATTTATATTTATATGTATATTGTGTTCCAGGCTGTTTTTTAAAATAGTTTGGACTAATGATGACGGAGAAATTTGTTTATCTTTTGTCCCATCTACATGGGAGGAGGGTAGTATTCTTAGATGGTCTAACAAATCAAATTAACCCAATAAGAATATTAGCAACCTGATTTAAAACAGGATAAAGACTTTAAATATAGTAAAGATGCTATGAGCTCAGATCAGGTACCGAAAGAGACAAACTTGCTTATCAACATTGATTTAGACATACCTATTGCACACGTCGCTATCGAATTTGCGCTGTCGTAACCTAATTATTTTTAGAGATTTCAGCTTTGCTCAAGTATACCTACATATAAAATGAAGATTATAATATATTTAATAAACGAAATAATGTTATATTGCATGTTCAACAGAAGAAAGAGAAAGTTAAAAAGAGTATACAGGAATAAGTATTTTTAAAATCATTTGAAGGGTTTACAGTTTTATAGTAAATTATATTTTCATTCGAAGGTTTCTTCAAACTAAACTGTTTTATGAAGTGTCTTAGACATAGTATTAATAAAACTCCCAGAGAGCTAACAACCTGGGAATTTTTAAAACGATTTATTGTTAAATTTTAAAAATACTACAAGGCGTTTTAATAAGTCATTGCTCTCAAGAAGTCCAAACATCTTTCATTAAGCCATTACAAAATCAGAGCAAGTTTAAACAGCATTTAAATGGTTACTTGGTCATAGCTGTTTGACAACGGATGTGGTTCCTGCACGATTTTCTACAAAATGTTCGAAATTATGTTCAAGAAGTACAGTGGATTCAACGAGAAGGACTAGCAGCATGGACACCGCGGTCTCCAGAATTAAATCCCCTGAAGTTTTTTTTATGAAGACATTTAAAAAAATAAAGTGTGTTATACTGAAGTGGAAGTATTTACAGCTGCTGACAAATATTTACGACTGTAAGTCCAGCGAGAATTGAATTAAACGTACCCAAATGTGTTTACGAGACGGTGGACAAAACTTTGAACAGTTGTAACATTACATAATTACTCATTTTTTTCTTGATTATAATACTAATTAATAGAGCTGTCAGAACTGAGCCGAGGGACTTAGGTGTACGCATTATTTATTAAAACTTAACAAATCGACAGTATACTAACATGACATGAACGTGAAAATCATTTTGAGGCAGCGGTTCACACATGTCTCGGTTGATCCGCTTGGTACGCCATTGAATTATGGCTCTCTCTGACAGCCCTATTAGTTTACATTTACTGATTACTTTTAACATTAGCAGGAATTAATAACAATAATAAAAGCAATAACTGAATTAGTAAAATAAAATAGCTACATATTTATTATCTCGTAAAATTGTTTTGTTTTTTGTGCGTAAACTTTTTATACGAGGTTATTGACTGCGTGAGCATTGCGCTAGGTCAGGTTTTGCAATCAACCTAGTTTCAGTGAAGGTTAATTAGTTTTCGAAATTGTCTTTTTTATTTTTTTTTTCAAAATTAATTATTTGAATGGGACTTTTACCCATCCCATTTTGTTCAATAAGTTGTGAATCGCTTTGTATACGATATAGTAAAATAAATATAATAAATAAAATATCCATTGGAATTTCACTTAAGAAAATTCTATTGGATCAAATTTGATTTTTTAGAATCCAAATTTATATACTTCAGTTCAGGAAATGTATGCACTAATTCAAAAACAAAATTTAAAATTACGTAAATTCCTATCTGCTGCAGTATTAAATTTTATATTTAACAATGACAAAGACAAATATATGAAAATATATAGACGTCATTCATATAGGATTAGGAGATGGCTTATAACCCCACGTTCCCATTTTCTTTATTTATAATTCCTCTAACTAAAGATATATCGTACATTTATATGATTTCATTTACTAGTAAGAAAAATTATTTCTATGGGACTATATTTCAGTTTGTTTATATATTTTAAAGAAAACAAATCACATACTATTTTTATTACTTCTCAGAACAAAAAAATTCTCATCAAAAAGAAATTGAATGAAAATTAATATCATGGATCAGTATAGTCTTTCCGATCTCAATTGAAGACCAAAGAGCTAGGCAGTATGTACCAGGTTCGGTCGCTACGCAGCAACTCGGCATCGAAATATTTGAAAAACTTGTTCCCATATTTATTTAGGTCTGGCCGAACTAAACGTAGAGGTGGTGGTAGAAATGTATACGATCAGTTGAGGAATGCGCACTCGGACAAACGGCGCACAAACACAGCCGTACTGAGCGACCGGCCATAAATTTAAGTTGTTGACAAATTGCCTAGCAGTGCAGTGCAGCAATGCGGAATTATTTTATTGTTGATTATTTTTATTTAATAACTTTTCTAACCTAAACTAACAGCATTTCCTCATACTTTGTAAAATGTCAATGTTTTTGATATGTCATCACCGAAATTTACCATCAATATAATAAAATTGTTTCAGAACATAAATAATTAAAATATGTTGTTGGCCATTAAACTTTATTGCTAGGCGTTTTTATATATGTTCAACTGACTTCGGAAAGACTATACCCCACACATTTTATCGGGATGCATGATCCATATCAATTTCTCATATACAGGATGTTTCATAACAGTATGTCTTTATTCATTGTGGAGAATCTGTGCATGATTCTAAGTTAAAAAGTTCATATAAACATATGTTCGTAAATGCTTCGTTACCATGTTTGTTGAAGTTTCTATAATTTTTCTATTTTTTCTTTGTATCTCCCACAGTTTCTGAGATATGTAGCTCAAATTTAGATCGTAGGCTAACTTAGATTATCTGCATCATCATCCCTTCCTAATAGTTGTCACGATCTACAGGGTGATACTTTTTTTGGGGTCAGGCCCCGCAAACTTTCTTCCAGTACGTTCCTGAACTTTTCTGGAACAAGGGTTTAATTCCCTGTTCAATTTAGAGACTTTTTTGTCACTTGTAATGTGTTCGTATCTGCTGCCGTTTTCGAGTAAAAAAAATAAAAATTTACTTCCTGCAAAAGCCGGATTTCAAAATCCTCTACTTAGTAGAGGCATTTGGTTTTTAACCTGTGGTCTGCGGGCCCCTGAGGGTCTGCCATCTCCTTCCGAGGGGTCCGCGAAGATTTTAGGAATATTTTTATCACTAATAACAACTAATTAAGAAAATGCACTCTCTTATGTCAGAGTGCAACTTATTGTTTATCTTCCCAAAATTTATGTTTGGTGTTCAATTTCGAATTAATATTTCGCACGTTTTTTTTATATATAATACTGTTTGCATTATTGTATTAATTTGTTATTTATTCTTAACGAAGTAGTAACGACTTTCCAAAACATCAGCCCAAGATTTTTGAAATTTGTTAATAAGCCCTGTTTATTCTTTGTTATCCTGTATCAATAAGTAATTATAAACTAGGTAATATTTAACTCAAATAATAATTATCTAAGTAGGCAGAAGTAGTTTTTGAAAGCCAAAGGTCAAACTTAATAAAACAAAATAATTATTATCCGTCAGTCAGAAGCTTCTAGAGGAACTTGAAGTCCGGTTTTTAATTAAGCGAATTACAAAAAAATCATTTTTTACTTTTTTGCTCGAAAACGGCCGCAGATACGAAAACATAGCAAGAGACAAAAAAGTTTCAAAATTGAACAGGAAATTAAACCCTTAATCTAAAAGACCAGTGGCTACCGGAGGAAAGTTTTGGGAGGATGAAGGTGATGAAAAGAGGTCCGATCCCAGAAAAGTATCACCCTGTAGATCGTGACGACTATTAGGCAGGGTTAATAATGCAGGTAATCTATATTAGCCTACATTCCAAATTTGAGTTACATATCTCAAAAATTGTGGGAAATACAAAGAAAAAACAGAAAAATTATTGAAACTTTAACACCCTGTACCAGGGTAAGGAAACATTAGACCTTTTAGATATACATACAGGGTGTTTGTAAATAAGTGTGAAATATTTTAGGGGATGGTTGAAAAAGTTATTTTGTGAAAAAAAGTTCATATAAACGTATGTCGAAATATTTTTCGTTTCCGAGATACAGTGTTTAAATTTTAATTCTTTATTTATTTTTATTAACTATTTCAAAGAATTTTAAAGATATTGAATCGAAATTTGAAAAACGTTTTGGTGGAATAAATGTGCATTTTTTGGGGTGATCCGAATATTTCTACCAGTGGCGTTCGTGCGGGATTGCCCCAACATTTCTTAATACAAAAATGGTACACCACTGACTTTTTCCCGTTCTGATAGTTTTTTTTTTAGAAATCAACCATCAATTCTGAATGAAATTAGTCCCTCCAATTTTTTTCGTAGGAGGCACCGTATTTGAGAAAAAAATAAAAAGTATTTTATTGGGTTATGTATTTTTAATTTCTATTGATACATTATCTAATAGGTTGCAGTCAATATTTCTAAATAAAATACAAATATAAAGAGTCAATATCTTTAAAACTCTTTGAAATAATTAAAATTTAAACACTCTGTCTTTCGGAAACAAAGCATATTTCGACCTACGTTTATATGAACCTTTTTTCACAAAATAACTTCGGCAACCACCCCCTAAAATATTTCGCACTTATTTACAAACACCCTGTATGTCCTAAGCCAACTAAGACTAATTTTTAATGTAAAATATTTGTTGTACTGGTTAAAGTTTTAAATGTATTTTATTTCTGTTTCAGTTTAATAATCTAGTGCCATTTCAAATACCTGAAGAAGAAAAAATTAGTCATACTGCAATACAATTGTGAAAACAACATAAGTCGGTTCAATTATTTACCAATTATGATCAGCAGTGTCGGTATTTGGCAAATGATCATCATCTTCTGGCGATTTCAGTGCCTTATAGGTGTTTAAATCGACAGAGAAAATAAATTTTAAACTCTAAGCAAGCCTGTATAAAAAAGATGTTTTGCATTGACGTAATAAAAATAAATCTTCGAAGTGATTTTCAGGACAATTATTTGAAAAAAAAAATGCAGTACGTCATGGATCTCCACAACTGCATGTGACAATTTGAAACATATTTCAATACCTATTTCGTTTCTGTTATTGCCTCATTTCCCGCATGCAATATAATTGTTGAAGTAGCATCAACTCCTTTAATAATCAACAGATGTCAACTTAAATACATAATATTTGGAACACACGGTCATAAAACATCTTTATTACTTATCTGCACAATACAATTCTAGAACACTTATTACTTATAAAAATGCCATAAAGTTCTTACCAGAAGCAGCCGCCAGTAGTTGATTACATGTGCCTTTGAATATATTTATTCCTGTATCGTGGCTGGCCATGACCGACCAACAGACAGGTCACCAAGAAACTGATACATATATTTAACCAAAACATTTAATCAAATATATATGTCACTGGATTAACGCGGACAATGTGTGGCTCTACCGAGGTCAGATATAAGATAATGTTTGACAATTCTTTGATAAGTTATTGGCACGATGGTAGGAAATGAAAAACTGTCGTTCTAGACTTCTAGAAATAACCGGTAAAAAGTTGCAACTGGCAATGAACCGGGATTAATTTGAGATTTTAATTTGGCGCAATTCGTATTAACTACATTTAAAAAAAGTACATATATTTTTTTTCTAGGTATACTACTTTCTCATACAACTTGATCGAATAATTAACAAAAATAAAAGGAAATATTTACCATTTACCATGCATTTGTTCTGAGAACGACGCAAAAATTTAATCAGCTTTTCTGGATTTAACATACATAAAAACGTATATCTTAAATAACAGAAAACTTATTATCTGATAACTTTTGAGTCGGTATTACCAACTATTTCTTTCCTTAGGTAAAAGTTTTATTTTATTTGCCATCATTAGAGAGAAAAAATTACATTCGTTGGAAAAGCAAAAACTGCTTTATAAACTACTAATAAATAACATTATAATTTCTGTTTAAATATATTATTCCAAAAATATATGTATTATATTATCAGCTAGACAGGCATTTTAAAAATGTTAATTTTAATAATAATATCACAATGTACTTTTATAACACCTTCTATTTCAGTGTAGTGTCGACTGCATCTGAACAAAGTTGATTAAAAGTGTAGCATCACATATTGCTCACGTCCTGTCGAATATAATAAATTTGTCTCTACAAACTGGTTCGTTTCCAGCTGATCTAAAACCAGGGTTTGTCATCCCAATTCACAAAAAAATAGTGGATTACGTCTTGATAATTGTAGACCTATAACTGCCCAAAGTGTAATACGCAAAATTATTGAAAAATGTATTTATAAAAAAATTATCTCATTCCTAGTGAAGTATAATGTAATAACAGAACGTCAACATGGTTTTTACAGGGAAGATCAACAGATATTGGATCTATCGTTCTCTTTAATTTTATCAATGCATGTAACTGATTGAGGCAAACAGTAATAAAAAAGTAATTGGATACAACTAGTTCAAAAACTTTTAACAGTTCTTAACGCCCAAGAAAGTGGTAATTTTCATTATAATAGATGGGAAGCTAGCCATAATTATAACATATAAGCACTTCTTTTGTTTCCACAAATCCTACCGAACCAAACGAACTCTCCTTTAAAAAGTAGAAAATTCTAATTTTAAGTTTTAGATGACCTTCCAAGATATACATGAATCTGATAAAATCTTTTTAAATAAATATAAATCCTTAAGTTTCTAATAATTATTAGTACATTAAATAGTATTATGCAACCCAACATACTGCTACAAATAACTGCGGAGATATGTGTAAATTAGCGCATTAAAATTTCTGCTGATATTCAAATGAATAGTTTTGGATTAATTATAATAACTGAACATTCCAAGATTTGTATAAAAATTTTAAAAAATTTTAACATACATGTAGTGGTTTGCAACACGTGTCTCAGTCTATATGTACAGAGCCTCCCTTCATAAAAGAATAAAGGCCACGTAATCAGTAATTTTGTTTGGAACAGTAATTTTATTTCTTTCATATTGACAATTAAATTTTGGGTAAAATCTAAATAATAAGATCAAGATTACATTAAAACACAAAATTCCCGTTCTGGGATTGGTGTAATTATTCACGAGATTTTATTCAACCAACCAGCGACCGAATTATCTCGAGCGTGGACGTAACGGTTTGTCATTGTTCATTGTAAACGAATCATTAATATTGGTGACGTTAAGATTTAGAGATTTTTAGTTGACAGTGCCAGGCGTTGATTACCTACGCTTGGCGGTCACATGGATTGTAATCATTTATGATCAGAGTACTTTCTATCTTCTATCTTTCTATCACTGCTTTTCCAAATCAATATGCGATGAATGGAAGATAAAACCTTATCTGCAACATTTTGAAGGCCGCTATTAATATTTGTGTATGCATAGAAATTAAGATAAAGTAATAAAGCAATTATATTTTGATACATTAAACAAACATTTATTTTATACAACAAAATGTCTTAACAATACCTTAATTTTGTTAACCTACTTAGCAAATGTCGTAAGTCCACTTTTTATCCATACAGAGATTTTGGTGGCATCTAGCTGGCAGTGCATGAACCTGTCATGCTGAGATGTCAGATTTTACTTCAGTAGTAAACAGCACGCGAAAACATCAAAACGCATATGTCGAATGTCCACTGCATTCGATTCAAGGGCAGAAATAGTCGTAAGTCCACCAAAATCTCTGTCTGAATAAAAAATGGACTTACGACATTTGCTAAGTAGGTTAACGTTATGCTTCCATATGACAAAAACACATACCTTGTTTAATTTTCACACAATTCTACTATTATATTATGATTTTTGAAGTTTAACACATATTGAAACCCTCTTTTTTCTTTAATATGAGTATATGTTTTTATGAACACATAAATGGGTAAAAGTTTTCCAAAGATTGAAATCTTAAGAGAGAAGTTGTTCACAGCTGACTAACACATGCGCTAAGCTCATATCCAAGAACAAATTCGATTTCCTGCTAATGCCAAATTTACCCTCACATTTATGCATTTCATGCCGTAGGAGCACTTATTACTTCTGAAAATTTCCGCCCTTTCAGAATCTGTTGAATCTCCTCCAAACTCTTCCCCTTGGTTTCTGGGATATACCACTGGGTAAAACCTGCCAAAAGATAGGAACATACCGCAAACAAGTAGAAGGAAACGTGCAAGCCGTACATGTAAAGCCACTGGTACACCTGCAGTGCTATTATACCCCAGACAACGTACATTGCATCCGCAATCGTCATGCCTATTGCTTTCATTTTTGCGGGAAACACTTCGGCTGTGACTACAATGGGCACGATGCCCAAGCCTATCTTAAAAGTAACCGCGTACAACATTACCGACACTATTGGTATCCAACTTACACTGATAACGTTGTAACCATCATATTTCAAATTGAAGTAGAGGGCGATGATCAGCAGACATGTGCCTGTCAAGATGGCTGAAGTTATCAGGAGCAGCTTTCTACCATATTTGTCCAGTTGAAGAGAAGCACCGGTAGCTGATACCAGCATTATCACAGCAAACAGTATTCCCGTGGTAGCCTCGTCGAGATAAATAGAACCCGCTTCACTTAGTATAAGATGCAAGTTCATCATAATGACGCCGATCCCACAGAAATTTTGACCAGCATTCAACACTGTCATTATCAACAAAGCTTTACGATTACTGTCGATTATAAAAAGATCCTGTATCCGTCCTTTTTCAGTCTTTTGCCTATCTATGGCGTCTGAAATCTCTTTCATCTCCTTGTCCACGGCAACCGTTGATCTAAAGTGTTCCAGAGATTTTCTTGCCTGTTCTGGTTTATTTTTGTAAAGCAAGTAATATGGAGACTCGGGCACGAAGGAAAAAACTAATAGTTCTGTCAGGGCAATGCATATTCCTAGGATGGGGGCTGTATAAAATGGCGTGAAAGGTCCTATACAATACACAATCAAACAACCAGCCAGCATCATTAAATAGATTATGCTAGACAGAAATCCTCTGATCTTCTGATCCGCTATCTCAGCTATGTACATTGGAGCTGCAACGAATGCCATATTGCCAGCTATGCCGCAGAAAAATCTAGCTACAAATATATATATCATGTTGTTTCCCAACGCTATCGCTAACCAAGCGAATAATACAATGAATGAAGCTAGAAGCAAGGACTTTTTCCTTCCTATCCTTTCTGTGAAGAACATAGTAGTTGGTAGACCACAAAAGGCTCCCACCAGTAGAGCTGTCTCTAACCATTCAGCCTCGTGCCGTGTAGTTTTGATATGACTTTCTTCACTGATGAGGTAAGGAATCATAGGAGCTGTCCATCCCACTGTCATGCCATCGGAAATTGCAAATAGTGTGCCTATACAAGAAAAACAGTTTCAGTAAATTTGTTCAGATAATTACTTCAAAAACTCAGCAGTTGATATGCAATAATTATTTGTCACTTTCTGAGGTATCTCTAATTATTAGAAATGAAATTACTTTACAAAATTTGCCATATACAATGTGTCCACGAATGGAGTTCGAAGAGGGAAACAATTTTTATTTCTCATTTCATGAGAAAAGTCATTATTGTTAAAAAATTCTGCTTTGTGTACCCATGTTCATCTTATCCTGTTATATATTTTTGAAAAATTAAGTGGGCTTTTTCAAGATTGAAAATCTTATTTTCTGTGTAGCTATAAGTTATCAACATTTTTTTTTTAAGTTATTCACAATTAAAACGTATGTCAATATATCAAGTTTGAAACTATAGAATACAATAGAATAGAATTTATTATTTGACACATTACATAAATAATATATTTATAGCAAGTCAAAGTACACATTTTACGAGAAAGAACATACACATTTGTAAGCAAAACATAAGTAAAAAATGACATACAGGATACATGTTAAAATTTTATAAAAATACAATCCAAAAAACTTTAACCGCCATGACTAAATACTGATAAAAAAAAGTGGTAAACCGCAAAGACTCTTGTATTATAATTATGGATATCTGGCAGGAGACAAAAGTTATTGATATTCTTTTGAATTTTGGTTAAAGTAAATATATAGGCAAGAAAGAAGTGAAATTCCAAAAACCACAGAAAATATTGTTGACAATGATGTCTGCTGTTTTAATTAGCCATAGGTAGTTTTAATTGCTTCTTTTTATAAATAATAATTTTTATTAGAATAGCTGGAATTGCCCCATAAAATGCATAATATAAGCGCGACTGAAAAGAGGCTATGTAAACGGAAATTAAAGTATTAAGGCTATTTATATAGGTTTTAACTATCGAATGAAAAATATAGTACTTGGAAACACCTTCATGAGATAATCAACATGACCTGTCCAATTTAAACCATCATCCAAAACCACACCCAACAGCTTTAAACCTCACTGTTTGTATTAGCTCGATTAGAGGAAATAAAAAGTTTCTAAGTTTTATTGACATTCACTTTGAATTTGAGTAAACCACTTTTCACCTACTTTTCTGTCTGTTTTGAAACTATTTTTAACCGTGGAAAATTTTTGTGTGATACAATTAAAGTGGTGTCGTCGGCAAAACAAATACATTTTAACAAAAAATAATGGATGTCATTAATAAAAATCAAAAATAATATCGGTACAATAATGCAACCCTGCGGTACACCGTGGTGAATTATATCATACTTAAATGTATAATTATTACTGGTCATAACATACTGTGGTCTTTCCTGTAGACAATACTTAAAAAATTTTAATGCCAAACCCCTTATACCAGAATGTTCAATCTATGTACTATCAATATTTTAAATGTATTCAAATGTTTCAAATTTGAGGTTACCGAAAAAATATTATTAATTTTTCAATAGGTAACGTTTTCTACATTAAAATTATGTCATCTAAGACGGTTTTAAGAAACCAAAAGCTATTTATTTTTACAAATTATTAAACCCTAAATTTTGTTAACAAATTAATAACAAATCTTACATTTATTTTAATCATAATAATTTACTAAACACTCTGTAATATATTCCATTTGGTATTGTTTTACTTCACATTCTTTTCATGACAGCTGAATTGCCTTATCTTGTTATAAAAACTGACGTGGCTTTTATTCTATTTGAATCTATATATCAAGATTAGAACGCAAATTCTCTTGACATTGTTAATTAAACACTGTTATTTGCTACAAATTTTTTTACCTGATACAGCAGCGAACAACTGAGGGAAAGTTCCCCTAAATATATCGGTAACACTAGTTTTCACTGTCATTTTGATTTGTACTGAATAATAGTAAGTGTTGTCCCAAATCTCTCACACAAATTCTGATTATATACCATGCAAATGCAAACAATCATAAAAATAATTAAATACATTATAAGTACGCTACCATTGTAAAACAAATTCTCTTTTTGTTATGCTTAATACCCACACAGCATTACTAGGTGATGATATTTTTCACAACTGAGTAAAATTTCTCTAGATAGTAGTAGCAAATTGGAATGGTTTAGCTACAACTTAGTTTTTCTGTAAGCTAGAATAAAACAAATAGTACGTGGTTCTAAGAGCATTTTATTTATAGACAGTAAAAAAACATAATATAAAAAGCGATGAAACTAAAAAATTATTAAAAGGAGAATATATAAATTTAAACAAGATCCGTACTACGACACTGTAACCATATTCAAATGAAATTAAGTAATACCTAAGAAACTGTAAATACTAAACAGGGTATACATAAATTATATATTAATGTTAAACAAGACACTTTAAAGGATATTTAATATACTTAAATATTTGCCAAGTCTTTAGGGGGCCTGAATGTATTGTGTGGGTATTAATTTTAAACAAATGGAGACAGTAGTAAAAGTTGCCTTATTTTTTACAATCAAATGTGACATTTACTTGCATAGGCACAGACAGTGGCACATGAACTAAGGTTAAAATTTTAGATAGGTATACTTCGTTTTCCTAAAATAAAATGCAAGAAAAACGTCCTATAAATAAAGGAACACTTTTCCAGTTGTTTGCAGCTGTCATTGGTAAGACATACATGGTTTTTGTATTAAAAGTAGTATTAACTAACAAAAATAAAATAATCACATATCATTATAGTTGGCATAATCGGTTTCACTAGCCATTGGCGCCGTTATTTAGCCACGCGAGTTGCCTGGCTGTCCATTTTAGTTACCCGCTGCTGCATAATTGTATGTATTAGAAATCGGAAATGGGTACAGGGTTGGCTATAGGCCGGGTTATCTTTTATCTAATTTTATTCAAACAAAAAGTGATACAACCGCTTCTTATATTTGCACTCTTTACGTTATAAGAATATATATGTAAGGATTTACATAATAGATTAAATAAGAAAAGGCAGTGTTTATTTTACTACACTAAACGCTTCACATGGAACTTACCATAAAATATATTGGTAGATATAGTACGTAACAATAAGTACCAGCAAAAGTTAACATATTAATTTCTTACTCATAGAGAAAGCGAAAATAATTAACAGTTGTCCTAAGTCTTCCGCGGTCAATCGTCTCCGGCATTAGGTAAATCTTATTTCAGAAGTAAAAATGGCCGTTCAACATTTACCGAGATCACAGACACAAAGCATTAATTACTTCACATTTTAGTAATCCCGGTATCCGCCTTATTGTACAATAATATGTACATGTCTGCCTCTAATGCGAAGCTTGGCATCGATCAATTTATTCTATACGTATTTAGCGGCACTCTAAAGCCTGTCCGTTCGGCCTCGTGTGCCGGTGAACAATCCAGGTTTGTTGCTGAGGGATATTGACCGTACACTTCATTGTCGTTTGGGCGTGTGTGACTGAGTTTGACGATTTGCTTAGTCGAGTGTATGGTACGTGTTTTTGTGACAGTCAACAGCATTGTGTATCGTGAGCATAGAGCGGCACACGGTTTGTATCAGTAGCAGTTTCAAGAAGACGTATAATGGACCCAATGTTTTTCCGAGAAATAATAAATGGAGAACGATACCGTAACATTTTACAAGCTCGGGAATTAATGCATGACAATAAACTGCAGCATGGATATTTTCATTAAGATGAAGCTGAACATACTGCAGCAGAAACTATCTTCAGGCAGATATTTTTAGGAATTTTATGGTGCTTGAAACGTAGAGTAAATTTATGTTTGGAAAACGAAGATGGTCATTTAGAAGATCTATTTTTTTGATTGAGATAACAAATTTTTGTTAGCTGAGTAAAATACTTTGTGTTTATGTTAGCATTGTAAGGTAAATTAATATATCTATAATTAATTTATATTTAAATATTGAAAAAAAAATAATAAAGCGCTGAAAAATATGTTTCATTAACAATATTTCACTTCATTATCTCTGAATAAAAGTGGATTACAACGGAGCCTATATTTTAAAATGCCAATCTACATATTTCAACATAAAATCATTTTTTAATATAGAATGGGTTGAAAATTCAAAGTATTTATGAGTTTGATTATTTTGTAGGTAAAAATGTAAAAAAATAATTATTTTCTATTGAAAAAGAAACTCATTTTGCAAATTAAAGTTCTATGGTTGTAAAGAATTGTAGTATGTACTTCACTGGACTCGTTTTCTGTCTTTAAGCAATTTTGTGTTAATCATTGTGTAATAAAATTTAATACTAAACAATTAAGGTAAAAACTTATATAATGTAAGAAGAGTAATTCACAATAAGAGTAATGCGTGTTAACATATTAACGGTATATAAATGAATGTCCCAGAAGTATTCTGTCCGCTTCCAAATGTTTATACTGAAACAGTGCCTATTCATTACTTATAACCCAAACAAAGCCGCCTAAGGCTGGCCGGCTATGTTGACATTCCATACGCCAATCTTGTACCGCTTACAATTGCCTCCATTGTAAGTTTGGTTGCCTATCAGTCGCGGTCACGTGGGACTCCGATATTTATGAAGGCACTGTAGATCACTACTGTTTATTTATTTGACTTTCTCCTCAATTATATACTGTTCGAAGTGGTAGAAAACAGCAATTAATCATACTACTAAGACAAAAAAAAACACAAAAACGTAAAGTAACTACTTACAAGTATATGTATAAGTAACAAACTTATCTAATAGAGGGGTACTCAACACGTGTTATTTCAAGCGCAAGTGGTCATAGGACGTATTAAAACAAATCTTTGTTTTACTAAAAAATTATAAACAACAATGTAGAATGTAGAGATATTCAGTATATACGGTGATAGTTTCCTTAGTAGCACTATATATGACCTGCTTACCTTGCGTGCTTACTCAGCTTCACTGCTTCTTGATCTACTTTATTCGGGCGCCAGCTCTCATGAGCATATAATTTATATGTAGGATTATATTTATAGAAAAAGTCTTTGTTATTGTTTTTAGATTGAATCAAGAGCAACTATATTTTAAGTACATGAGATGTCTTGTCATAGGGTGTGGTTCTAAGAAGATATGAATTTTGATTTAAATTTTCTTTCAATAAATAGACTTGAATAATGTTCTCAAAAGGAAATATTAAATTTGTTCAGAATTTAATTACTGTATCTTAAAATTTTAATTTATGCAAAAAAAATTCAATTATGATAGTTACGCAAGTATATTTTACATTTAAATAAAAATTTTAATGTGATTAGTTTCCCAAAGTTTATTTTCTAGTAATCAAAACAATTCTTTATGTGTTTCTATACTACCTACGCCACCCCTACTCTATTCCTTAAAATTATGTCCTAAACTCTATAAAGTATTCTTAGTTTATACCTTTATTCCACTATCCGACACTAACTTCTGTTTCTGTCTTTGACCGCTCAATCCTGGTTATTGTTAGTCTACTTCTGTCCTTACTTGACACTTGTCATTTCCTTTACTGATATTTGGTCTTCTATACTATTCCTATTATGTCTTATCGTTCTACTTGTTTTGTGGTTCTGTTGACTACACTCTATTTCTTCACTATAACAGTACAATTATAATTTATTATTTGACTTACTGTATTAACAATTTTATTTATAATCTTCACTGAATTTTCGTTACTGTTAACACTTTTCCTTTGCTTCCTCTGTATAACTTTTCCCTCTCTATGAAATACTTTCTTTCTTGTTACTTCTACTATAAATCTTCTCGTTTTTCAATTTCAAATAATCTTATAATAATCTTTATTTGACAAATTATTCCTCTTCCTTCATTTTATTTATTTTTTCTCACTAGTTACCATTTTTCTTTTTCATATACCACTACTTAAATTATAAACATATTTCTTAATTATAGTCATACAAATTATTTATACCAATCACATTGTTGCTTTGGAATATCTATATTTTTTTAATATTAACTTTACATGATTTTTTTTTATAAATTTTCTTTCTCTAATGACTTTTAATAGATCTTATATTAACTTCTAATAATTTTATTCTTCCCGTCTTAATTTTAATGATTTTCCTTATTTCCTCCCATTGGTCAAACTATTATCCAAGTCCATTATTAATTTTATATTAATTTTCCTAACTCTACCATTTTTTTTTATATTTTAAAATCTTTACTTCAATCATTCTATTACAATATATACATACTTGTATAAAATAAATATTAATAAACAAAAAATAATAAGTATTAAACAATGCACAATACATGTATAAAAAACTGGCGGAAACCTTAAGACCCAATTTATATTTTAATTTTCATGCTGATGTACGTGTAACCTACCATTTCACATAGATAATGAAAATAACATATAAAAACATTTTATAATCTCCGCAAACAAGGGTTGAAACATGGTGCAACCGATCCCACCCATATTGTGGAACTGATGGTAACCATGCCTAAAACAACTTACCCAATGTCACAATGATGTAAATCTTATAAACATTGGTCACTTTAAATTGTGTTCCGTACCTACTACGATTCGCATGCCTCTGGTGCGTGGACCATTGTGCCATCTCTACGTATCATGCTGTGATAGTTTAATTTTTTTAATTTAATTTATTTTTTACAGCCAATTTAATGGCCATCTCAGATGGAATGACTGTAGGGTGGACTTCGCCAATGATACCGTATTTCCTCAGTGAAAAAAGTCACATAAAAATTACTAAACATGAAGCGGAGTGGTTAGAAACCTGGCTATTAATCGGATCAATTGCTGGTCTAGTACCAACAATTTATGCCGTCAACAAGAAAGGTCGGAAGGTGTCTCTACTTCTAGCATCGTTCGCTTTGCTGGTCTCTTGGGTTATAATAGCTTTAGTTAACAAAATAGAATACATCTACGTTGCAAGAATCATTAGCGGTATGGGAGGTGACATGGCTTTTGTAGCTGCTCCAATGTATATAGCGGAAATAGCCGACCAACGTATCAGAGGGTTTCTGTCTAGTGTCATCTACCTCATGATGTTGACTGGAGTTTTGTTGATATACATCGTAGGACCGTTCCTCCCTTTTTACTTTCCTTCATTGCTGGGTGTTATTCTACTGTCCATAGAATTAATTGTGTTTTCTTTATTGCCAGAAACTCCATATTATTTGATTTCCAAAGGTAAACATGAAGAAGCAAAACGTTCTCTTCAGAAATTTAGATCCACAGATGATGTAGCATCAGAACTCAAGGAGATCAGCTCAGCAATTGAGAAACAAATGGCAGAGAAAGGAAGAATCCAAGATATCGTACTGATAAAAAATAATCGGAAAGCTATGCTGATAATGACAGTACTGAATGCAGCACAGCAACTGAGCAGTATTAACGTGATCCTGATGAATATGCACACTATTTTAGAAGCAGCAGGTTCCATTTATATGGAGTCATCTAGTGCTGCCATCTTGTTCGCTGCGCTTATGCTGTCGGCAGCAACGACAGCTTCCTTCTTCATCGACAAATTTGGACGCAAAAAGCTTTTAATAATCTCTTCAGTACTCACCGGCTTCTGTTTACTTAGCTTAGCAATATACTTCAACCTTCAGTACATAGGTTACAATGTATCCAGCATTAGCTGGATACCAATAGCATCGGTGATGGTGTACGCTTTCGTCTACAAATTTGGTTTAGGCATGGTACCGATAGTCATCACAGCAGAAATTTTCGCACCAAAAGTAAAAGCTATGGGGATGGCCATCGCAGACGCCATCTATGTGTTGGCAGCCATTTTTTCACTGCAAATTTATCAAATATTGTTGAGTTCGGTTGGAATGCACATTCCGTTTTACGTATTTTCCGCATGCTCATTCTTGACCAACGTGTTTATATTCTTCATTATTCCTGAAACCAAGGGAAGGAGTTTGGAGGAAATCCAAATGATACTCCAAGGAAATCTACAAGAAAAAGATAAGTGTTAGAAGTGAATAGTAAATCACTATGATCATTTTATTTGAACTGTGGCAATTTTTTTATTATATTAAAGAATTAGAAATTATAAATTAACTAATATTTTCCACACAGTGAAAATTTTCTTATTTGTAGTAATAAGTATTGCTTTGCAAATAAAGAAAAATAGAATCGAATCAATGTTATCTTATTTTTTTATGTTAATCAAACATTTACTTCAGATTTAATTAAATATGACTTCGCAAATTTTATATTTAAGTATACATGGTGATTCACAAGCAAGCAAGCAGCAAATATAGTAGAGCACAAAAGTGCAGTAACCTTGTATAGTAATGATAGTGAAGTAATTTGAGTTTGAATATGAATAGGAATCACAACACAACAATCAGGGTCGGTTATAAAAATGATTGATTTGTTAGGAAATGTTATTGGAAGTAAGAATTCTTACATTAAGAATCCAAGAAGAATGTCAACAAAACCATATTTTTTTAAATGCGGTCTATCAACTTTTAATTCTTCAAAACAAGAATATATCAGATTGCTATTAAATTCTAAGAACAATTATTTGTAGATTGTTTGTGCACAATCTGTCATGTTGTAATAACGCTTTTTAGAATATAGGTTATGTTATTTTCATATTTAATAAAAAATTATGTAATTTTTAGTAATTTATCAGTTCTTTTCCAATGATGACTTTTCTTCTTTCCTGAGGATGGTATAATAGCTGACACTAATAGGAAAGATAATAGAACAATTTTATACAGTGACTTTTATACTTAATCAGGAGAGAAAGCGAAGATGAGTAAAACCCTTGATATATTACGTACGGAGCCTTCATAAATGTTTATAAGTCACGTGACTGCCGAGCTTAGGCAACCCAAGAATGCACGGTTGGTACTGATAACAAAATTTTCCTAAATCTTGGCTTCACCAATATTGACGATTCGTTTACAATGAACGCTGACAAACCGTTATATTTACGCTCGAGATAATGCGGTCGCTGATTGGTTGAATAGATTTTCGTGAAAAACACCATTCACAGCCGATGAAACAGAATATTGTGTTTTAATGTAATCTAATGAAATAGCTTGATGGAAATAAAATTACTGTTCCAAACATAATTGCTGATTACGTGTTTTGTAATTATTATTGTAGGCTCTGTACAGGGTGATTCACAATATTTTGACCACCCTTTAACTTTTTTATTTTAAGTTATAAAAAAATGTTAAATATGTACCTCTAAATGCATTAAAAATTATTATTTCAGTAAAGATGTACTTATTTTGTTATTTACTACTTCTCTTACTTGTGCATATAAATTTTTGAAAATATATTTTCCGGGAGTATTCAATAACGTCTATAACGACTTTGCGGGTCGCTTCGACACTTTGCCATGACGTATCCGACCTTCACCGGCCAGATGAATCAAGTTGAACTGTGGGTACCTAACACGTTCAATTCTTGGACCTACACAATTTAAAATGATTGTATTTATGGCTTTGGAAGATATGAGTTCACATTTCAATATTGCCCAAAGCCCGCAAAATAGCTGCATCTCGAGCAGCCCGGCAGCTTTTCAATAAAAATAGATTTTAAATTTGTTGAAACTAAATCCCACAAACTTAACTATCATGAACTGTTAAGAGTAAAGAAATCCTGGAAGAACATATAAAAGACTATTTAATAAAGACATATATTTACGGCTGTTCCGAACAAAATGATTTTTCTAGTGCTTTTAGGTATGTAAGTTATTAATAAATACAGAAAAAGCAAAAATACTCACATTAGCAATCAAATGCGGTTAGCATTAGTTGACAATATTTAAATAGACATTCAAAAGTATAATGAAAAGATGACAAGAAATAGGTACGTTTTATGTAAAATCATTAACTGTATTAAATTTTGTACAGCTTTTGAATTTGCTCAACGGGGACAGGTGAATCTAGAAAATCTGAAAACCCTTGTATTTTCGCGGAACACCATAAAAATGCAACAATTTTAAATAGTCTGGGAATATCTGGGAATAGCCCATGATATTCGCAAGTCATTCGCGTATGCTTTAGGCAGGGACACACACGTCGCCGTCGTAGACAGGGAACCCAGTTACATCATAAGACTTACGGCTAAATACAGATAAGTGTTTTTGACAAATATGTTGTTGGTTTATTTGTAAAAAAGGGGTATTAGGCATTAGTGTGTAAAAAGGTGATGTAAAAGTACATTCTAGCAGAAATAATTCCAGAGAAAATTTTAATTTGGAAATTTATAATAATGTGTTAAAAGAATTATCTTGCAAAAAAAGGCGATGATATTTACTTATTGAAGATAAAAATAACTTAAAACTCTATTATATTGTTGTATAGGGAATAAGCATACTGGTGTGGAACAGCCAAATGGAATACATTCAGTATCTCAATTGTTGTGCATGTTTATAACAAAAAATCCCGAGTGGCAGTTGCAAACCCTAACTTTTTAAATGGGAAATAGGGTCTTGTGATACCTCATTAGAGAAGTATTTTCATTTTCTATTCAAAAACCTATGGTTTTAATATTTGTTGCAAACATTAATGATCTACTCAACGAAATTCGTTACAACAAACAAAAACATAACTTAAACCATTTTCTTCTTACAGACTAGCAAAAACAATTTCAGTGTTCTTTTTCAACATTATCAACTAAAATAATAGTCCAGTTGGTAGAGGTTCGACCTGTGTCAAATCTTGATAACTCGGAAATAACTACACAGACCTACTTTAAATGATGAGTACAATAACAGGCTAATTTGCTGACAAAGTATTTTATCAGGAAAAAAAGTTATTAACAATTTAATCGTGACAAATTTTTTTTTAGTAGTTTTCTTTAAATAACTCAGCGGGATGACTTTGTACGAAAAAATGCTTAGAACATGATTTTGTTCGTAATAAAAATAGCTATAAAATGGCGGTGGTCCGATTACGAAATTTGCAATAACAAAGCCGTGAGATTGAAAAACGGTATAAAACGTCAATTTTTTAAAGTTGCTGTAAAAATGTCAATTATAAACAAAAATTGTAATGAAACTTTCGAAAACTATAGTTCAATATATATACAATAATGACGCTAAAGCCGAAAATCAGGAGAGTAAAACTTTTTGTTCTATAAGGTGCTATACATTCATCGGCATCTGAAACTCGAAACTTTGCTAAATTTGTTTGAAGTTTTGCCGACACTTGAAATTTGGTATACACATAGCGTAAATATGCAGAAACCAAAAGCAATTTGCAAAATTCAAGTATCTTCATTTTTGGTTTTGGTAAGGTTTTATACGTTACCCTAGTTTCACACGTCACCGTTTTTTTATTTTTGGACGTATATTTATGTTAATTTATAAAATACTCCATACTCCACGGTAGATTAGCCAGCACAAAATATGATGAAAATCTTAGTAGAGTTTTTGTCCCCTCCCCTAAGGGAGATACAAACCCTTGAAGGGGTAACTCAGGAAACAGTTTATTTCATAACTTCAAAACGGCTTAATATAAAATCACGAAATTTTGGGGTTGTATTACTATTTATATGCTTAACAATCGGTATAATATACAAATCAAAATTTTCTACAGGGGCGTAAGAAAATGCGGGACCATGGGGCTAATTTTAGAATTTTATTTTTGTACTCAATTTTTTCTACGTCTTGAACCGAAATTATGAACATTTATCATATTTTACATAAAAACGGTATTCTTGTTAGATTTTAATAGCATGAGCCGTTTTCTAGTAGAATCCATTTCAATAACACAGCCACACACAAAAAAAAGTTGGGTATACTTTTTATGCGACATATATGTTTCGTAGTAATTTGGCCTCCTGAACACGAATCTGGGGTCAGAATTGGCCCATCACGTCACAATTTTTTCCTAACCTCAAAAAACTTGTGAAAAATAGTGAAAATTGATGAAAATTTACTGGGAAAATTTGGAAAAAAATTTATTTCCACATCAAATAGTACATTTTTATGTAAAAGACTCTGCTGAATTCAAATCCACTGTCAGAATTGAGCTAGAACGTGTGGTTTTTTTTCTAACCTCAAAAAACCGAGCAGGAATCGCTATTTTCAAATTCTGAGCGGATTTTGACCAGATTTTGTATAAAGGGGTTTTTTGGGTCGCTGATTACGAATATGAATTCACATTGTAAAAATTCAAGATGGCTGATCCAATATGGCGGGTGTACTTTTTTGAAATCCACCGATTTCAGTAAAATTTGGCATCATAAGGATTGCTGGTTGATCTCACCTTCATTAATCACACATCTGGAGCCAGATTTTCATAAATCAAGGTAAAATTTGTAGGCAGAGTCATAATTTTAGGCCGAGTAGGCGGCATTTTTTCGGCAAAGTCACATTTTTAGATTGAAGGCATAAGCAGATGCAGTGATGTGCTGTGTGGCAGTAATGTGTCCTTTTCCTTGAACTTTAAAATTATTAAGAAATAAAAGCATCTAAATGCCATAGGAAAACTGCATAGTAGTTAAAAAAATCTGATTGGAAAACCATAAGCCCATGCACGACTAAATAAATGAAAGAATAAAGTAGAAACTTTTTTGTCTTGTCCCATGGAAACAAGCACATCACACTACACATCATTACATGTGTAGAGTCCTTAAGTCATTTTTTTAAGCGAAGTCACATTTTTAGACGGAGTGGCATCTTTTACCTTGATTTATGAAAATCTGGCTCCAGATGTGTGATTAATGAAGGTGAGATCAACCAGCAATCCTTATGATGCCAAATTTTACTGAAATCGGTGGATTTCAAAAAAGTACACCCGCCATATTGGATCAGCCATCTTGAATTTTTACAATGTGAATTCATATTCGTAATCAGCGACCCAAAAAACCCCTTTATACAAAATCTGGTCAAAATCCGCTCAGAATTTGAAAATAGCGATTCCTGCTCGGTTTTTTGAGGTTAGAAAAAAAACCACACGTTCTAGCTCAATTCTGACAGTGGATTTGAATTCAGCAGAGTCTTTTACATAAAAATGTACTATTTGATGTGGAAATAAATTTTTTTCCAAATTTTCCCAGTAAATTTTCATCAATTTTCACTATTTTTCACAAGTTTTTTGAGGTTAGGAAAAAATTGTGACGTGATGGGCCTATTCTGACACCAGATTCGTGTTCAGGAGGCCAAATTACACGAAAAATATATGTCGCATAAAAAGTATACCCAACTTTTTTTTTTGTGTGTGGCTGTGAATCATTACGTGCTCAAAAATTCCTGCTGAAAATAAATGTATCAAATTGTGCCATGAGAAAATTACTATTTATGACACTTAACAGGGGTGTCAAGTATACGTCAATTACTGATTAGATTACGAATTCGAAAACGGTAACATACAGGGTGATTCAGAACTTATCCAAAAAAAAAATTCTGGATGTACAGGGGACCCTTATAAATCCAGTTTTGTAAAGAAAATATCAAAAAGGGCAGTTCGAAAATCATTTAAAAATACACTTCTGCACGGCACTGGAAACTGGTCCACTGTAAAACCTGACCTCGAACAATGCGACCGGCATGGCGGTGAGATAAAAACGGACAAAATTTCGAAAGGAAAGAAATATGTAAATAGAATTTTATCGCACCTATTTTATATCGGCAAATTCAACTTGCCTTTATTAATTAATAAAATTAATTTGTGTTTTTAAATAATAAAATCATTTGACATACCCGATGTTACAACAACAATTGTTCAAAATTTTATCCACCAACGTGTAAACACATTTGGTTCCGTCTTACTCAGTTTCTACGAACTAACACAAATGTTGTCTTGCTTCACCATAATACAAATGCTTAACCATAAATTAAAACGATATCCATCAACTCCAAATTGCTATACACGCAAACCATTTTTGACACTAACTACCCATTTTTGACACTACTAAAAAACTATTGTAGGTGTTTACAATAGTACAGATAACAGGTAAATACTATCGCAACGACGATTGCAAAATCCGATTTCAGTATTCGGAGTCGCTGAAGCCACGTGGCTCTCCACGCATATTGCGAATGACGCTAGAGACTACAGTTGTCCAGCTATGTAGTGGTTGAATGTACTATAACTTCAATAATTTTTTTCTCGGAAA